ATTCAACTTACAATAATGTATAATGCAAGATAAGGTGCAAATCAAACTTCTAATATTATAAATAGTGTTTGGTTTCAACCTATTAGTTTAAAACGAATAGGAAGACAACTTCATTATATACAATTCATTGTGCTCCACTAATAATATTCAAGTGAACTATATTTAGTTTCAAGTTAAGCGACTTACAATAATGTATAATGCAAGATGAGGTGCGAATTAAACTTCTAACATTATAGATCGTGTTCAGTTTCAACCTAATAATGTTCAAGTGAATTGTATTTAGTTTCTGTGACTTACAATAAAGTATAAAGAAAGATATGTGAATTGATTTGGATAAGCTAAATCATAATGTTCTAAGTATTTAGTCTATTGATTTGTATAAGTTAGATTATAATGTATAACATTCTATATCGTGTTCGGTTTGATTTCAAATTATTTTGTTCAAAAACGTATAGAAAAACGACCATATGATTGAAAATGAGATGCGACTCATTTAAAACAACTGAAGTTGTGTTAAACGTCTGCAATCATTTTCATGTAAAACAACTGAGTCGTTTAAAGCGACAGTGGTCGTTTTCTTGTGAAACATCTCCAGTCATTTTAAACGAATGGATTTGTTTTTGCAAACAGCAGTCGGAGCACTAGTAAAACTGAAAATGACTCCAGTAGTTTTAAATGACTGCAGTCGTTTAAAATGATCGGAGTCGTTTTCCATTCATCACTTGTTATATGAAATAAACGAATATGCAAAAAACTTTCCAACATTCATAAAACACAATTTTGGCATGAATTACAACAAAAACTCACAACATAGAGCATATATTGTAATAAGTAGAAATCAATTTACATTATTATCTAAACGACATGAAATCAGCCAAACAAACAATATACTAGTCCTCCAATCTTCTATCAACTAAAGGTATTTGACTTGTGCATGTTAGTCGGTTGTATCCAATTGCGGCACACCTACTACACTTGTGTATTTTCGAAAACTCTCCAGTAGACATAATCCTTGTTGTTTTAGTACATCCACCTCGTCATCGTACTAGCGACGGCAACACATTGAGGAAGCTAAAATTTTCAGGAATTTTTGAATCAATTTCATTTGGCACTAGAAAAATAGTATTATTGTAAGCTACTCTCTAATATTCAACAATATAATACAGATAGCAAAACAAGTAAATTGAATAGCCACTCTTCTTTGTCGCAGCTACCACATGCTCGCATGGTAAATGTTCTAATTGAAACCGTTTACAAGTACAAGTTTTTTCATCTAAGTTAACAGTAAAATTCATGGTTTCGTTCTTTACATTATACATGAACTGATCGATCGGTTCGTCAACAAACTTCTTGGTTTTATCAACATTCTTACGCAATTTCTCTCCAATTATTAGCGTTAAGTGCTTGTACAACTCTATGCATTTACATGCCTTTCATAAAACTATTTTTGCAGTAATTTCCTAGTACTCTCAATCAATGGAAGTATAGGATTTTGACGATCTTTCTTAAACACCGAATTTAGTGACTTTGCATTGTTCGATGTCATGATATTGTAATGGTTCCCCTGAAAGTGTGACATGGCCCAAGTATGGAAACATGCTTTGACTAAATAATTCCAAACTTTAATATCAATTCTCTTAATTTCGCTCATATAATTTCCAAACTCTTCTAAAGTATTTGCCTCTGCAACTTTCTTAAAAAGTAGGAAAATCTCGATTTTTCTAGTTACTGTCCTTAAGTTGCCTTTTATATGATAGATGCAATGACCATGATGGGATAGACAGCTTGAACTCCATTAATAATAATTGGATGTCTATCAGATATAACAATAAGATCTTCAATATCCCTTGTTACTTCTTTCAACTTCATAAAAAGTCAAGTCCACCTTACATCATTCTTAGAATCAACTTACCCTAAGCAAGATGATATATCTGAATGTTTGCATCTAGACAAGTAGCAACAATCAATGTACCTTTATATTTCTCTGTAAAAAATGTTCCATCAAACGACAACTACTTCCACATTAAAGAGCGAAATCCACAAATGCAAGGTCTGAGGACCATAAAAAAAAAATACTTGAAGTGATTCTCACCATCATTCTCTAAAGACAATGATTTTCCAAGATCGATTCTAACCAAATTATGAGAATATAAGCCCAATCTAGCATACTATCCTCGGGGGAACCTCTTAAAATTTTCAAACCATATTCTCGTGACTTATGCGCCCTTTGATAACTCATGTCTACCCCGAATTCCCGACGCGCGTCATTAATAATGTATACTGTGTTGGGATTTTGAAACTTAGGCATTATAGGTCTTCCAATGAGCCACGATCTTGCCTGTCTATAATTATTCCGACGAATACTCACAGAGCAAGTATGTTCACGTACATACTTGTGAACTTGAAAGTAATCACAATTTTTGAAAACGCCATTTGCAATTTTCATCTATGCAAACGATTGTATAGACTTCCTTATTTGATTTCTTCACTCTAAATTCAAAATTGTACTTCATATCAAGCATGTGGATTTCCATCATAAGATCTTTTTTGTATTGAAAATTTGGAGATCTTCTAAATCTGCATCTTCAGGAATCACATGTGATGTAAGAGTTGAAGTTACAAGGTGCTCGTTTGTAAAATGATTTTCTTCTCTGTTGTTTTGAAACATCTCGGATCCCTCTATGGACAAAACAACAATGTTACCATTTTTAGTGATAATATCTACATTATTGTCTTGGGCTATCTCCAACTCATCCCAATCAATATTCTCAGTCCGATTCACTTCACTGTCATCATCTGCTTGCATTTCACAATAAATCTCATCATCTTCCACTTCTAAATCATTATCTTCTTCATGTGGATGCTCAACTAGATATATGCTCACAAGGGTTACATAAATGGGACAATAATTTTTTATTTTTTTTGGTGAGAGATGGCAACCACTGCACTTGCCTGTCTAAAATAATTTTAACTGGAATTGCAAACTGTCTGTTTCTAGGGAGAAGAAATCTCATCTCAATTTCACGCGAAAATGAATCAACTTTACAAATATTTAGCACTTCACAATACAGATCATGGTATGAAGTATTTGAAGATATTGAAACTCCTTCCACCATTTCATCACTTTCACTTCGTTTCCATGTCCATTTTCCTTGATCATCATTAACAAAATCACCAAAATAAAATATAGAAATCCATATTGTTGAGTCCATATCGGTAATTAGAATAGTGAGATTTTAGAATGTTAGCAAATAATCAATCATAGTAATATAAAGTGACTGTAGTCGTTTCTATGTCGCAAATGTTTAAAACGAATGCGATCATTTAAAACGTTTGTAATGAATCTGTAACAAAAAAATATATGAGATTCTGTTTTTCAAAATTACTTGAAATCGAAAAATACATTTCAACACTTAAATAAATACAAATGACAATGAATATATGGACAAATAAAAAAAAAACACAAAATTAAAAAATAATTAAAAGTGAAAATAATATCTTACCAATATAAATTGTAGAAATATAAGGGTTTCTTCTTTGATGTACTTCTTTATATTTCGAGTAAAACTAAATTAAAAGAATAAGGAAGTAGAAGATTATAGATAAATTAAAGAAGAA